GTATAAAAATTTCGGTTTATCAGTTTTTTTTGTTCCGTAAAATTTTACGGTAAAAATGAAATTTATGGTAAATATTTAGGTTGCAGGGCATGCAGTTAAAAGGAAATACTCACCTATACTTTTTATTGATAGTGTATAAAAGTGTATAGCAACAAATATTTATTGATTGAATAAAAAAGTATTAAATATTCTTTATCACATTAATGTCTTTTAAAATATCAGCTCTAAAAACTCTTACACTCTTGTAATCAATTAAATTATTCCTAATAGTTTAGTTAATAAATTAAGAAAATAGCTCTTAAAATATCATAATTGTTTTTTCGAGATAAATTTGAATTTCGAGAATTACTTCCAAGTTAGGTAATACAGATATCGATGTCACCCTTAGTTTTAACCAATGAATACAACCGTATGTAATAGATGATGAATACTAGACATTGATGACTTTATGTGACGTGTATAAATTATATTTCTTTTTAAATTTTGCAATAACGATATTTCTTTTTGTTTATATTTTGTTTCATTTGTATTTCCTTACTTCAATGCTCATTATATAATTCTGTTATCTTTATAATCATAAGAATAAAATAAGTTTACTGCTTACTGAGATCTTAATGAGACGAGTGTGAAGAATGTATTTTATTGGAAAATGCAATTAAAATTTAAAACGTGAGATAACTTTTTAGTTGATTCTGTAGTTTTTCCATAATTTATATTTTGGAAAAAATGCGAAAATTTAAAAGTGGATTTGCGGAGGAATTTAAGTGCAATGTTTTTCTTTCAATCAAAATAAATAAATACTTTAATTAATAAAGGAGTTTCATTTAAAAAAACAAACAAACAACTTTCTTCTTTTTTTTTGTCCTGTTTGTGCAGTTCTCAGAAGAAGAGGACGTTGATGTTAACTACAGTTAGTTTTAAATTAGGCTGGCCTTAATGTTATAAGTACTAAAAATACCTTTCTATTTAGAAAAAAACATTATAATTATTTGCCTTTCATTAAATTTTCGAACATTAGATTATCTTAAACAATAAATTTACGGGAAAAGCTATCAGCGTTGCAATGGTAACACGATTCGTACCATCCTCTTTTTCATGCATAAGGATCATTTGGCTGCAAAAATATTTCTTAAAAAGGAAAATTCTTTACAATTCACTTGGTATAAATATATCTATATGGAATAAGGACAAAACATTATGGGCCTGAAAATCCATCCCGATAATACATGATCATATATCAACTGCAAGAACTGCCCGGATTCTCAACTAACACCAAAACATATCTTTGAATGCCCAATTTTTACTGCAAATGCTTTAAAGCTTGGTATGCTGCCACTTTAGAAGATCCTTTATTGTTCCGAGGCTCCAGAGCTGGCAGTGGCAGTCAAATACTCCTTTAATGGCATCTAGAGAACAACCCTCATCCATGGACACGACAACAACAACAACAAATATTTCTATAGTATCACTTTTTCATACAGGTGTTTTTTTATGTATATAAATCACTTTGATAGCCGAGAAATAATGGGTTAAGTGGTGCTATGAAATGGAAGTAGGCGCCACAATGAAAAGGCCACACGAAAATACTTTGTCGCATGAGTGGTTTAAATAATTCGTTGCAAGGAAATAACTTACAAAATAATGTGAGAATAATAAAAAAGAGAGAGATAATATATTTGATATCACTTTAGACCAAATTATTATTCATAATATTTCTCTAGGCATTTTATGTTAGCTGTATAAGTTTTAAAAACTATTTTAGGCAGAAATTTGCAATTGAGTGCTTTTTTTTATTTTTGATGATTTTTTTGCACCCCAAGATCAGTACTAAAACGAATGGATTTTCGTTATGTTTCTCACAAATCTTTTTGAAAACAACTAAAACACATTAAAAAAATATAATTATGATGTTAATTTATCAAACAAGATTGCAATTTTGCTTTTAAATATCAATAATAATGGAAAAGTCATACGAAAGAAATCTGGAAAAACCACCAAACTGTATGGTAATTACATTTTTGGTAAAAAAAGGGATAATTCAGGTTTATAAATTTAGAATTTACGGTATTTAAACCATTCATTTCCTAATTTTTCCATTTATACGTTATAAGTTTACCAAGAATTCTCGTTTTCAAAATTATACTGCTTATTACCATACATTTAGTTAAAAATACAAAACTGAAAAGAAAATTTAACCGAATAAATGGTTTTTACGCCATGCTCTAAGGTATGGTGATAAAATTGTTTTCCCATTTTTACCAAATTTTATCACACATTATGAAACCATATTTTATTGTTAATTTTACCAAAATCATTAATCAAAAAATTGCAGAGTTTTTTTGGTCTCCTCATAAAAAGGTCCAAAAACATGGCAAATTCCATCATATTTTGGTAGTTTTGACTATATTTTTTTCTCGAAGTAGAATAATCACTGCGACCAAAAACGAAAATCGATTTTAAAATAAAAATACGGCTAGACGGAAATATGGTTTTAAGCATAATATTTGTCACCTCTCGTAAATGAAATCAATGAGGTTTTTACACACCAGATCACAATAAAGGTTAATAAGTAAACAAAACCTCTGTTTCGCTTGCATTGTTTTTCGTCATTAACATTCTGAATACACGTGTCGAAGAGATTTAGTACATTCATTTGCGTAATTACTATGCATCACTTTCTAAGGGTGAGAAAATCTGGATAAATGATTCATTTGGCCTTGAGATTGGGTTAGATTTGTTGGATGAGTGATTTGAAATTTATGAGCGGTAAAAAAGATCTTGCACGAAGTATTTCGATGCAGAGAAATAACTTATGTGAATAATGTGAGAATAATAAAAAAGAGATATGTAATATATTTAACATTTCTTTGCGCACAATTATTATTTGTAGCATTTCTTAAGGCAATTAACTATAGCTGTATAAGTTTCAATAACTCTTTTAGGTAAAAATTTACAATTGAGTGTTCTTTTTATTTTTGGCGATTTTCCTAATTTGGCGATTTTTCCTGACGATTTTCCTTAGATCGGTGCCAAAAAAATAATTGATTTTTGTTGTTTCTCAAATTTTTTTTTAACTGAAAACTAAAACACGTTAAAAAATTTAATATTGACGTTAACTTATCAAACAAGATTTCAATTTTGCTTTTAAATATCAAACACAGTGCAAGTTTCAGCAAACTGAATTCGTCTCCAATCCAAAGAGCACTCAATTCGACACTCGAACCTTATTTTAATCTACCTTAGATAAATCATCCTCAAATTGAATTGCTTGACCACATCGTTGCATTCTTAAACTAAATACTAGCTTATAATTCGAATGAAAAAATGATATAAACGGATGGTAAACATTAGAAACTATCATTATATTTTTAAAAGAATAAATTTTTTTTTTGTTGAAATCGATTCAAAATTTCCATATTTCTTTATTATTATTCAATCTAACAGTGTTAATGTGAATATTATTATACAGAGAGCATTCCATGAAGTTAAGAGCAAAATTGCAAAAATATGATTATAGCAAACGATAAATAATTAATTTTAATAAATTATTCTTCTCCCCGCCCCCTCAGGTGATATGCAAGGGTCCTTTCACTCAATCTATTTTTCAAAACAAACAGTTATTTTTTTCTTCTGAAAGTTGCTTCAGAGAATACTGTATTGATGAAATTATGTCAGAATTTGTATCAAATTTTCTGCCACTGAGCTTCTTTACTATCGGAAATAGTCAGAAATCGCTTGGTGCAAAATCAGGATTGTAAGAGGGATGTGGCATGATTTTGATATTGCACTTACTGAGGTATTGCTGAAGTAGTATCCCTGATCAACCAGTAGTGATGACTCATTTTCATTTCTGTAGGGTAAATTAAAACAGTCATTTAAACTTGCACGAAACTAGGGAAACAGGGGATGGGAAAGCCTGGTTAATGGGACGTTGGTTTTATGTTCGTGAGATGTGTTCGAATAAATCGGCCAAAGAATCCCTGTGTATTAAATGGTGACTGGTGTACGTTAAATCTGCTGGGTCGCAAATCCCTCCAAGTTCCCATAGCAAATCAATGCCTCTGGGGGTACTGAATTGGAGATTGATCGTTCTCTGGTTCTGCGTAAAATTACGATATGTGGATGAATGCAAGGAGTATGGTTGGGTCCTCCGTGTAAAACGGGCTGTGACGTGTATGTTGCTAAAGTCGTATTCTTGGTCATAGATGGAGCCACTAGAAAAACAGGAAACGCACTCTTTGCCTTAAATTCGCTTGGTTTCCCGTAGCAGGCTTGTTGGTATTGTGAAGTGGCATTAGTAACAACAACAGGGAAATGGAATTGTTATAATATTTATAAATGTTCGTTAGAATATCTATCGTTAGAATATTTATAAATGCTGACATTTGAAAAAAAAAAAACGCTTGCACTTTTATTTTTTAGTTTCGTGTTGACGCCACTACGTAAAAAACAATTCTCAGTTTTTATGGAATGCTTTGAGGCCGGGATAGCCTGGTCTGTACGGCACTGGGCCCATGTCCGAGAGTTCGTGGGTTTGAACCTCGCCGGCCGAAGGTAAATGGTGACTGATGCAAGTTAAATCTGTCTAGTCGCAAAGTCCTCCATGTTCCCATAACAAATCAAAATCTCTGAGAGTACTGGATTGGAGATTGTTCGTTCTCTGATTCAGGTCAAAATTACGATCTGTGGATGAATGAATGGGTCCGTCCTATAAACGGGTGTGACGTATGGGTGTGGCAGAAGTCGAATTCTTGGCCACAGATGGCGCCACTGGAAAACAAGAATAATCGCACCCCTCTGCCCTAACAGGCATACGTCAACAAAAACATAGAATGCTTTTTGTAGACATTCCTTGGTTTAATTCATTACCCCTATTATGTTGTTTTCCCTTGATATAAATAGTGCTTTAATTTGAGCCATACAAGTAAAGATGCTGAAAATAAGGTGCTAAATATATTAAGTGAAAACAATTAGGGTAAAAACTTAAACTTGTACCCATATAAAATGTTCAACGACAGTTAAACTTTTATTAGAATATATTTTCAATGAGCGAAAACAGGTGAAGTAAAGTAACATTTTAGGTGATTTACAATGAGCATGTTCGTATCCGTCACAATATCACTCAACCATTGGTTACAATTTTCCTTAAACAGCTTTTAACAGGCAGTGCAAATAGCTTTAGAATTTGTATGAAGTATATACAAGGAAACAAATGTCACCAATTATCAGAGCTATTATAGAACCAATGAAAACACTAATGAATCAAATATGACAGTCACTAATTGTGCATGAATTTGAAGTTACTTTGGGTTTGAAGTTACAAATTGTTTTTTTTTATACTTATTCTCTTTTTTACATTAAAACCACAGAAAATGTCCACATTTTTATCTATGTCAGCGAGATTTCAAAGCTACAGCTGAATATTACAAATTGCTTACTTTGATCGGCTTAAGTTGTATATTTCAATTCCAACAACTTTCAAACTTAGTTGCAGTTCGCAAATATATATATCTAAACTTTCAACAGCACAATAGAATGCATAAAATCCACATTTACAACACTTATCATAATTTCTTGCAATTCTGAATTTTTGTGCTTGCCTTCAAAAAAGGCTTTTACTTGATCCAATCTGTCAATCAAATGAAGCTGTTTCTTTCAGCAGTAAAAATGTAATTCCGAAAATTCTGTTATGTCCAGAATACTGGAGAGTTTAACTCGAGTGAAAGGAATAAACTGGAATGTGACTCCTTCTACGTTGTCTTCTCTCTTTTTATTTCTAAGTAAAGGCACGATGACGTCATCATTAATGAGCGCATGAGCCTGAAGTTCCACTTCGTACTTCTCACCCCTTCGAATGTAATATGGCTTCCTCAGGGTGATAGTTGTGTCCTTTCCCTTGGAAAGTTGGAAGGATACTTCAGACTCTTGACGCTCTATTTTTCCATCCACCATTCTTCTAGCTATTCTCACTACACCTGTGTACTTAGGTTGCCTTACAGCATAGTAGTTATTGTCTAGCCTAACAGGGAATGCAGCTCCCACTAAGAAAACATTCTTTTCTATTGTTGAAAACCGTGCTCCAAAGACCCTAAGTGGCCTCCCTGGTGGAGAATAAGAAAGTCCTCTGTATCTAGTGCAGACGAAGTACTCTGGAGGAGCAGTTCTTTTGTTATATTCTGGAGATAATCCAGGAGGCACAGGCATACATTCTGGTATTGCCAAGTTCATGAATACACTAAAACACTCGTCTAAAGTGAGCAATCCACCTTTTGCAGGACCTTTGGCGAATTCTTCAGATGACATCGCCATGAATCGAATGTATGGTAGATGGCTCTCTAAGACTTGTCGAACATTATCCGGATCATCTGGTATTTTTCTTCTTTTACACTCATCTTCTCCCCATTGCACTAGAGATGTATAAACGGTATATTCAGAGTACAAATTCAGGTAACTTCTACTGGCGAGCAGTTCAGCAGTACTGGGAAGTACCATTGGAAAGCTGGGAGATGTGAGTACATGGAATGTCTGTCGATCCATAATGTTCAGACACAGAAAGATGAGAAGGGGTGCATCTACGGATTGGGCAAATTCATATATCTGGCAGACATTTTTTGCATTGACGTTGGCTTCTAAATAGGTGAAACATTGTTCCAGGAGATGGGGTAGAGCGTATTTCTTGGCTGCAAATGCGGTCATCATGGCATCTTCGATGCTTGTTAGACGCAAACCATCACTGTAAGCATACCTGTAAGGAATAATTTTATCTGAGTGATTTAAAAAAGCTATGTTAGATTTTTTTTAAACAATCCGAAATAAAAAATTGGAATCAAATTAATAATTGAGAAAATTAGAAACAACAAATAGGACAAAAATTTTTCTAAATTAAAAATATATAGTTCAATAAATTTGGTGATTAGTCAACATGACTATATACAATAAAATGTATACCCCATTTTTATACTTACTTCATCAGCCATATACAGATACAATATAAATGAAAAATTAGTGATTAGAATATGCAATTGATTTCTGAATAGAGAAAGTATTCTTTCAAACAAAAAACCATTCACAAACTTAAAAGGAAATGACAACAAGTGTAACAAAAAATCTCGATATGAAAAAGAATTTTGTTTTACATATTTTATGATGGTGAATTGGAACATTTTATTTATTTTGAAGTTATATGAATTGTTCGTAACCCACTGGCGGTTTAGTGAAAGGGCAAAATTGGGAGAATGTTTCTCCCCTATACACTATTTTTCTATCGAAGTACATGGAAAAACCGTTTTTGCTATGCGGAGAAGACTGCTGGTTAAAGTTTGACTTTTTATGTGCAGAATCTTCAGAGGGTTAAGTCATCCTCCAAAAACGGCGTATGATTCATAAAACAATGAAAAACATTCTAGTTACATTTCTCGGTGGAGCTATAAAAGTAGCACTCTTGAGATGTCAGATAATAAAATCAAAACTAAACTGTTGTAAGGTTTTTTTATGTGTAATTTCTAATTTAATTTTGGGAACTCGAAATGTGCAGTAAGAATGTATAACAGATGTGAATGTTTGCTAGTAATTAACTGCAAATTGAGGTTATACTAGAATAAACCATATTTACATTGTCTCAACATAACTACTTCGTTTTTAAATGAAATTAATAATACATTTAATCCATAAATAAATTAAAATATAGCCTTCAACATAGATAAATATAAAAAAAATAATTTATCGACAAAGTGCTAAAGTTATTCTATTTGTGTATAAACAATTTTCTTCAAAAAGTATTGACAGACAAAATCAGATATGCTTTTAAGAATTTTTAATCCGATGGAGATTAACCCTATATTTTTGAAAATTATGTTCAAATTATATTTTGATAAAAAAATATCTGTATTTCAAATGCTCCAGAAACGAATATATTAAGTATGCTTAATATCGCAACTAAAGCGTGCATCATGAAATCGATATTTTTAAAACATTTGTTATTTACACTAAACACAATAGAAAATATAAATTTGAAAACATCAACAAATCTTCATAAAAAATACAGCAAAATCGGAGAATAATTTTAAAAATATTAAGTAAAATATCTTACAAAAAATTAATTACGACCACTGGTTCGGGAAAAACTACAACATTTTGTTTATCTTAATACAGAGAGAGAACGTTTATGGGAGTAGTTTAGGAACAAATAAGTGTCCTTAAAATAAATAATTTGTTCAAACTTAAGGGCTCAAAATAAACCAAAAAAGTTTTGCTTGATCAAGATTATATTTTACACATGGTGCCATTTCATAGTAATAGTTATTTAAATCTTAAAAGATCATAACAATTGTTAACCAATAAAGCTAAGTAATCTATACCGAGGCAGTTAAATATCGTTACAAAATATTAACATTTAATATAGTTCTAGGAAAGAAGAGAAAAAAAAGATGTTTAGAAGATTTAAGTCAGTTGAATACTTTAACGAACCATTAGCATTTAATATATACACCAAGGAAAGAGAAAAAAGGATATTTGTAGTAAGGTAGTTAAATATCTTTATGAACACTATTAACATTTAATTTAGTTTAAGGAAGGAAAAAATAAGATGTCTACATTGAGGCAGTTAAATACTTTAACGAATATTATTATCATTGATTTTACTTCTAATGATCTAAAATAGAAAACAGGGATAAATGAGTCATGAAAACGTGCGATTAAACTAATTTTTGATTGATTAGAGCCGCAAGATTACAAATCATTCATGTAATAAAATATTTATACCGAATTCTATAAAAAACTATCTTTTTTTAGATGTAGCGTGTGAACCACTTTTCAAAGAGAGTTTTAAAACAAACAATTCGGTCCATAGTGGTTTTCGAATGTATGTACTATACCAAATTCTGAGTAGATCGGTTTAAGATTGCAAACTTGAATAAAGAACATATATACATATAAACATTCTGCTTTATTTATATAGATGAGAAATATGCAATGATCATTGATTTAAATTTGAAAGAATTTTATATTTCATCCTATCAAAGTCCTAACCTATCAAAATTACATATTACAAAGCTCATTGCGATTCAATAATACTTAAAGCCAAATAAAATAAAATTTTTGAAGATTTTTGAAAGAGAAAAACCGGGACAAATTGAATTTTACAAACTTTCTCAGTGTTAAAAATTTATGTAGGGTAAAACAACCAGTGAAGGAACACTACCCAGTGAAGGAACATTTCATATATATATTGATTAAAAATAAGAATTTGAAAGTTTTTCTTTAGATTGATTGGTAACAATAGCTTACTGCCAAACAATAGGAAGTCATCTAGCAATGTTTTGGATTACCTGCTCAATTAGACTTCTCTGGAAAAATTTTTGAATTTGTTATTATCTCTGCAAAACCTTGTTTCTTTGAAAAAATTATAAGGTGAGTGCTTGTATTTATATGTTTGAAGTGGAATTAATTGCATGCAATAGTTTTATTTTTCCCACTGTGAAAAAAACAATTCAAAATATAGTTATTAAAGTTACGTTTTATTTTTTTAAAGCATCATAGCATAATAAAGTGCTGAGATAAGGGGGTGTTTATTCACTGGATCACCAAACGATGAAAAACCAGTGCTCCTTTACTGTTTTTTTTCTAAGTTAATGAAAATAAAAGATAAACTTTAATTTTCTTGTACCTTTAGTGATGTTCCGCATCAAAAGTATGTTAAAAATACGAAAAACAACTTCTAACCAGTGAGGGAACAGGCATGTTCCTTTACTGGGCATAGATTTCCCAGTGAATGAACAGTATGTGTTAATATGTTGACACTTTAATTTTCAATTCATGATTACAAAAAAAAGTTAACATTTTCCAAGTATTTATATGTTATAATTTCAAGAATAGGCTTGTTTTTAAATATTTGTATGGCTTATAAATTCATAAAGAGCATTAAAAAATAACCAAAATTAAGTGTTCCTTTACTGGGTGTTCATTCACTGGTAAGAGCTGTTCCATCACTTGATCTTCTTACTAGTTGCTATTTGAACCTCCAAAACTTTAAAACAATATTGTGGAAGTTCTCTACAATTTGTTTTACATAATTTGCAATTAATAACAAATATGTTGACACTGTCATTTAACTGAAATTACGAATTTTGAAGTTAATATGATTTTTTAAAAGGCAAGCAAAGCTTAAGTGCTCCTTCACTGGTTAGTTTACCCTATAAAATCATTTTCTGAAACCGAAATGTCTTATTACATTTGAATGAAAGCGTTAGAATGGATAGACTATCGTCTGCTTTTAGGTATTAGGAATAAAATAATAATAAGAAAGCTTTAACAATCTACACTAATGACTGAGAAAGTTATAAAGACATAATTTTAAAAGACATTAAGGAGCTTCGAAATTTTTTTTTTCAAGAGGAAACTTTGGAGCATCGCCTATTATTGCGGACTAGCAATATGTAATATAAAAGAGAATGTTTGCGTCTGTATCTTTATTCAGTTCTAAACTAAGCACTGAACTATTTAATTCCTGTACTTTTACATTGAAACTACAATGTGCAATAGAAAATAGAATGTTCGCATCAGCACCTTTATTCAGTACTAAACTGATCACAAACAGTCCAATTCTAATATTCTTACATTAAAATTGTAAACTAAAGCATAATATGACAAAAAAGTGCATATCACAATGTATATTTGCAAATTAACAGCTTGTTTCAGTTAAAAAGTAATTGGAATAGTTCTAAAATAATAAGCAATAATTATCTTTTCTTCAAATCTATCTTTTAAGGTTTTTAAGATTATTCAATTATTTAAATATGATTGAATATTAATATTTAAATTTTATAAAAATTTGCATTTTCGATTTGTTTTTATATTTTAAGATTATGGCACTGATAAATTAGTTTTTATGGAATGTTTTCTGCTATAATAAATAAATAAACAGGGAAAAGAAAGCAAAAATTCAAAATAAAATTACTGTACCTTAAATTAAAAATTATATTTTGCCATAATGCTCTCAGTCAAGTACTAAAACAACGAAACAATACATCCTTCTATAATGTGTTAAATGAGAAAAAAAAATACAAATGAGCCGAAAGTAATAAAAATAAAAGATAGATTTCCCTAGAAGTACCCATTTCATTCCCTCGGGTGATGAAAAAAGCTATTGGCGATAAAAAATCGATAAGTTGAAGCATATAATTTTCTATCTTTACCCAGTAGGGAAAAAAGAGGGAAAAAGTCAAAACAATGGCCGTATTTCTATTTATGGTTGAGGGAACTTAATGAAATGCATTTGATATGGTGTCGGAGGGTCAAGATCTGAGGTTGTATTTGGGTCATTGCTGATTTGATAACATGAGCACCACTGGCGAGTTCTCTGTATCACGCTGAGTACTAGAATGGACCAGAAAAGTAGGTTAGTTATATCCATCTATACTTTTGGCAGCTGAGCTCACAATGCCAAAATATCATTTTATAAATCTCAAGGGACGATAACCAGACAGTAAGTAGTCTGAAAAAAATATTCGATCGTACTCAGGTTAAAGCAATTGCCAGCGAATGATGCGTTCTGTTAAGGAATATATATTTAACTATCATGTGATGATAAATCAATTTTAATTTATAGTAAATTACATTTTTAACTATTAAAACTCATATATCATAAAATTTAGAATGGTATTAGAATTTAAAAAAAAGATAGATGTTTGTGTCGGAAACTGTGTTCGTTTAAATTAGATTTGTATTATGTAAAATTTAGCAAATCCGTTTAAAAGTTTGCTTGTATATGCGTAATTCTCAAAAGATGGAAACTATGACGGTAACAGCAGCTAAGTCTGAGTTCTATTATTATTTATATTATATGCACTAAATATTAACTACTTATGCAATATACTTATCTATTTGAATAAAAATATCACAATAAATTTTTTTTCATTAAATGTTATTTTTAACAATAAATTATGGAGAAAAAAATTATCGGCGTTATGTACGTTTCAAGTTTTAGGCTATTCTATATTTCTGGCTTAAAAAAATAACAATTTGTTCTAGAAATATTTCATAGAAATACTAGAAAAATGTTCAAATACTTGAAAAAATACTTTTAAGAAGGAAATAAGATTAAAGTATTTGCTTTAATTTTTTAAAATAATAGTGCTTTTTCATATGTTATTTTTTTTTTGGAAATGCATCAAAACAAAAAAATTGTTCTTCCTAAAATATCTGTCGCAGTAATATAACTTATCTGTTACTCCCACTGCTTAAGAATATTAGTCTAGTGGTTAGAGAATCGAACTTCAGTCCGAAAGGGGCCAGGATTCAATTCTCAACTTCGCTGAGACCCACCGAGTCCATGCGTTATACCTGCTAATAAAGTCTGTGGAATCAAAAGACCTGTAGTCGGTCGCTGAACAGTACCATGGGTACATGGATCTGGAGAAAATTTCCTTCCCGTTCATATTTATGTCAAAATTAGGGAAAGGACCTTACGAATGAGTTGTGCTGTTCTTTATCCTTTATTTTTGAGCTAAGACGTATTTTCACCCTTGCGGTGCTCTCTTGTCAAACGAAATACACGCCTTCCTGACAATCACGAAGGCAAATGGCTTGTCCAAGTGGTATAAAAAACAACAGAGCATCAAGCAACTGTCCTAAGAAAACCTAATACTTTAATTTGTTAACATCTAGACACTATTAAATTTTTTTTTGGTGTTACATTAGCAGAATCACCAACATGTCTATCCAAAATTGGCTTTTTTTGGACTGAAATTTTCATTTGTTATAGTATTTATAGAAAACATTTGAAATAATTTTTGCTAATTCCTACTACTAGACAAAATTTTATGTTTACTCTAAAATATTTGGTGGGAAAAAATGTAAATTTAATTGTCATCAGATTTTAAAGTTTAGATCTGTGCTATGCTTCTACCGTTTGAGAACTACCCATATAATTTTTTTAAATGAGAAATTAAAAATGAAATAACCACATCATTGATGAATTTGACTGATCAACGCCATGACTTCTCACAACATGATATGAATGCACTTTTTTGATAAAATTTTAAGCTACGACATAATTTAAAATCTTGAACACTTGGAACTGGATAAAGTACTACTGATGGATACTTTTTTACACTATTTAGAAGTCAAGCCTGTACCTTTAAAAATTGAAACTAGCTCAAAAAGTCAACGGAACTAATATGATCCTGAAATTTTATATAGTTCACTGCCAATAATAGTTAATAACATTTTAGATCAACAGAATATAAATTAAATTATGAGGAGAAAAACAGACGAGTTAAAACCATTTCACAGAGCTGTTCATTTTACTCTTAAGATCAATATCGGATTTAAGTTTTACAAAATTGAGAAACATTAGTACTAAAATTAGACATGCACTACTACATAGAAAAGTCTAAGACTAGAATCTATGGGTCTAAGATAAAATAGTTAAGAAGAGGTTGTTATTTACGATTCAAGAAGGTTATCAATATCAAACCTTGGACGACTAGCCGCCCTCAAGGCTTCCTCTAGCCTCAGGTAACGTATGAACGCTTCATGGTCACTGTACCTATTACGGGAAAAGTACCAGTTACAGACAAATAACCGTGATTATTTTTTTAGCGATGCCATTTTGTTTCAGAGGAGTAATTTTAACCTTTCAATTTTAAAACCAAGAGCCTCATTAAAAGGAAATTCTAATTCATAATATATGATAAAGATTGTATTGACCAAAACTGGTGCAAGGTAAACACCCAATTTCAACATAATTTCATAAAAACCAAATGTGAAGAGCACACTATTAGCCCATATTAATGAAATTATATTTCATACCCATCAAATAAGTGTTTGGATTTAAAAGATTCGCTATAAGTTATGCTATCATAATATTTAAATTGAAAATTAGATTTTTTATAATGTAATACTAACAGTAAATAGCGTGTTGCAAATTTTTTTAATTGTTATCATAAAGAGTACTTTTTAGAGAATATTTCCTTGATTTTAAAAGAATTTTTATTGCAACGAATTCTTATTGCAGCTCTTAAAGTCTAAAAATATATATATTGTCCAACGCAAGAAAAGGAGTAAAAAAAATCTATATACTTTGCATTTTGATCACTACATCTATTTATTATTATTATGAAAAAAATTAGATTATCTGTTAAAATATTTCAGTCATCAAATTGGAACAATTATTATTATCAGTTTTAAAATAATCAAATTAAATTACAAGATTTCTTTGATTTTAATACAATTTTCCTAACATTAAATACATAAACAGTCCTTTTTGTTATGAAATTTATTTTAACGTAACGTTTTCAGTAGATATAAAGGGCACAAGTGTATCGCTTGCATTTTTAACTTGTTCTAGCATATTTTATTGTTCCATCAGAATAAATGCATCAAACTTGGTTTGAGTGAAAAAAAACAATAGCAATCAGACTTTTTTTAAAAAAAGAAATATGCAAGACACGACTTTCAAAGTACAGAAGATTTATAGAAAAAAAAGTATTATTAAAAAAAAATCTCATGCTTTTAAAAACGGGCAAATTAGGAAGAATTTGAGTACCAAAAACCAAAAGAAATTGGTTTGCTGTGTGCATTTCACATGTTGATGTTTAATAATAATGCTTGTTGATATTCAACATTACTGATAATATAGTTGGTTTTTCTTCTGTTGAAAATTCATTCGGACAAGTGAAAACTGTGAGTTCAAAAACAAGCAAAATTATTTTCGGAACAATTCAGATTTTTAATTATCCCACAACTTTTTCTTATAAAATATAAAATTATTTCAGCAGAATAGTATTTACCTCTTGAGTATCTATATAAAATTTTGCCTCACAAATTTTATTAGCCATGAAGGTGTAAATACTAAATTGGTGTAAATACTAAAGCTCAAATTGGTATTATTTTAGTAAAGTAATTGGTATTATTTTAGACTACCTTAAAACAACAATTTTTATTTAGCTTATTTGAAAGTAACAGAGTTTATTTTAGCATGTCCAAGCATCTGTGTAAAATATTTTCAGAAAAATTGGACATCATATAGATAGATAAATGAATCCACTTGAAAAAAAATCTTCCAACTGGAAGCAGATGTACAGAAAACAGTGAATGCAGACAGTTTTTCTCATTGTGAAAAAGTTGTTACGCTAGTTTTTTAATAATTAATTTTTAAATCATTTTATTAGAATTATCAAAGTTGGAATCCATACTCAAATCAAAAATCGAAATTGGGATTTGTACTCAAAATAAAAAGTTGAAATTGGGATTCATGGATAAACCGAAAAATTGAAGTCAGGACCCATAAACGAAATGAAAAAATCGAAATTAAGATGAATACGCAAATCAAAAATTCGAAATTGGGATACATTCACCAACTGAAAAATCAAAATTGGGATGCGTACACAAATCAAAAAATCAAAATCGATATTCATACACATACCAAAAAATTAAAATTAAAATTCTTACATGAACCAAAAAAAAAAAGAAATTAAAGTAGGCACCTATCAGAAAAAAATAAATAAATCGAAACTGGGATCCATGGATGAACCGAAAAATTGAAGCTAGGACCCATACATGAAATGAAAAATCGAAATTAAGATGAATACGCAAATCAAAAATTCAAAATTGGGATCCATTCACCAATCAAAAAATCAAAATCGGTATTCATACACATACCAAAAAATCAAAATTAAAATACATGATCCAAAAAAAAATAAAAAAATAAATTGGCTCCTATCAAAAAAAAAAAAAAAAAAAAAAAAAAAAAAAAAAAAAAAAAAAAAAAGAAGTCGAAACTGGGATTCTTACTATAACCCCTAAAAGCGAATTAATACTTAGCAGACTGATAGCATATTGTTCAGATAGTAGTATTGAATTATGCTATGTCATCGACGCTTATCGACCGATATGCTATCGGTCGGTAAGCGTAATCAGTTCGTCAGTCTAAACCAATTCTGAGCTTTCACCAGAAAGAATCTGCGGTTGAGTAGCTGGATGGTCGTGCATATGTACATGCAGATGAACCACCAGCAGTCGTAAAACAAGCATCCTCATATAATTCATTTAGTTTTAACAATATTTAAGCTGGGATATTATCATTGAAGTATTCTTTTTTAATTGAAATTAATAGATTAAAATGCTGGAGATTGCTTACCTTAGAAGGTTCTCGAATCCGCTGGGATGTATATCGGTGACGCGTACGACTCTGCTTTTGTTGGCCATATCCCCCTGGAACATAGCCTCAAAGACCGGACTAGTCATAGCAAGGACTACTCTGTTTCCTGTGTACTTTTTGGCTGCACTGGGAGCCCCAACAATGAATGTTATATCTGTGAATTTCTTTTTCTTTAACTGATGGACTGGAGTGACCACTGCACTCTTGTGAAAGGGCTCCCTGGGATATGAGACCGATAGGTCATCCTCAATCTCCTGAAAAAAATTTAAACAAAACGTGATAATGATTGGAATAGCATGCTGTGGTCACAAAAATTAAACATGATTAGAGATCTCAGAATGTTTTATTTTATTATCAGTCATATGTTGGCATTAAAGTTTAGCCCATATTGGGCTAAAATTTAATCCTTTTGCTTCTTTACCATCGAAATTTCATTCAAAATCTTGTTTTTGTAAATTCTTATTTGATTTTCGGTTAATGTAAAAACTTGTTTGTCTCCATAAAGATAATTTTGAAATAGAGTAGAAAAGTTATGTCCTAGTTATGCAATTGAAGAAAAACAGAAAATAGATAAGTTCTAAAATAATTAAAATAAACATATATTCATTACCAAGAGGATGTATCCTCTCCAGGTAGTTAAGAATAGAAATACAAGAGAAATTTATTAAATTCTTTTTTGAAGAGGATATAGGCAAGTTGGTATCCGCTATGATAAATGTCTAAGCAATACGGATAACTATATAGAAAAATAGTTTCTAAAATGCTCGTTTATGCAAAAAGAAATTTTATTTAAGAAAAATAAATAAAATGAGACTTTTTTTAAAAACAGTACTTATTTTCGGACATGCCTCATAATAAAGAGACATAAATTTTAGCTTTAAGTTTTAATTTTGAATCAGGTTGGTATTTTGAACAGAATTGTCATGATTATAACTTACACAAATATAACAAACATAGCTAAAAAGACAAAATAAGTTTAATATAGATAGCATAATGCTTAAAGTAACTTAAAAAAATATAAATCGAATGTTTCTATATTCAAAATAGATGAAGAAAAAATACCACTACATAAGCAATGAGAGACTTACAGTTGAGTACAATTTAACTTTTATAAATTTTGTGTCTCTTGAAGATTTCAAATGATTTATAAATTCGAAGTCAAAGATTTTTGTTTCTTCTTAATTAATTAATTAATCCTATCCTATGATTTTTCTATTTAATGAGAATGCACCGACTACAGTGAAAGCTCTTAATAGTAGCAGTGCTTTATTCAGGCCCACTATAGCTGCACAATCTGTTATTGGTTATAGCAATGAGAAATAGGAAATGAAAAGCGGTGTTTAACCATTCCCGAAGGAGTCTTTTCAAAGAAAATGTAATTTCTTCAAACATGAGTACTTAAAAATACATATATTGTTAAAAAATCTACTAGTTACGGTGGAGCACCCCAAAATGTACGAATGAATGTTCATTAAATCATCACTGAATTTCTATTCAAAAGCTATTCATTTATGAGTACGTGATTAACAATCAGTGGTTTAGTCCAAGTAATAAGCACATCGAGTTTAAAACTTGCAATTAAATTAATTATTTAAACTAATATATAAATGCTTTTTAAATTGTCTTACTTAATGCTAATTAATAATAAATTAACCAGCAATTTAAGTGCTTATTTTTATATTGTTTGGTCAAAATTACCAGTAGGAAATAAATATACATACCAACCAAAGCCCAAACACTTAAACTATTTTATTTTGGCAGTCATCTTACAACATGTACGAGACAATTGCACTACCTTGCATCAAGCATTTTCCAAAAGGCTTTTTCCTCAATTATTAACTTATTTAATGTAAACTAATAATAATTAAACAACAATTCTTGCGCTTTTTATTTTTCACTGTCCGGTCAAAATCACAAGCAACAAATGAATATACATACCAACTAAAGCTCAAACATTAAAATTATTTTACTTTGACAGTCATCCCACAGCGTGTACAAGTCAATTAAACTAGCTTACAACAAGGATTTTCCCAAAGGCTTTTCCCTGAATTCAGGAAAACTGCTTTCCTGTAAACTCTCATTTGTTTCTCGTTGTAGTATTTTTTTCTTGAGTTGGATTTTGTAATGAAGATGGAATTAAGGGCGTGGCGATTCCCGGAAAGAAAAACTTGTATGGCCGTTTCATTTACTCAACTGTCTTGTGTCTCTGAGGATGGTTAACGCACATTTCCTGGAATTATCATATTAGATGGTTCATTTCCGTGTGTTGATTATCTAAAAGTTTATTTGCTTTGCACAACTTCAACGCCCTAAGGGTCTACTGATCACGATGAAACTGAAGAAGATAATTTAAATGCGGTCAGTGATCGCGTGTGTGGGAGCAATTAGGATTACATCATCAGATTTATATTGACAGAGCCAACTGCAACTTTTAAATATATTAAAAAAATCTATGATAAACCTAAATTGATATAAAACTGTCTATTTCAGGATCGAAGAAATGAATTTGAAATACCTATACTAGAGGCCAGAGCCCCGTTTCATGAGGCTCTTCACCCCTCTACCTGTTTGCTACGATGGCATCTTTCTTTCTTCGATAAATTAGTGAGAAAAGTTCCTAAAATTTTTTTCTTCCAAAAGTTTTCACTTAAAAGGAATGGACTAAGAACGTACTCTCGTTCAAATACGCACATCTTTGCAAAACGCAACTGTCCTTCCCCAAAAATTTACTGACGAAAAAACAAATATGGGGCTTAATATATCAATATTTATGAATAAATTTGAAAAAAATATTATAAAATATATTTTTCCCAGCTATTTATTAGTCTAATTACTCTATCCAGTTAACGTGTGTATAAGAAAAAGTGCTTAGTGCGAAGATGACTGAGGGACAAAGTACTTTTGTTTTCTATAGCCTGAGATTTTTTTGACAGACCTTAGATACTTTTGTATTGCTGCTTTTACTTCTGCAATCAGTTTCTTTCTCCAAGCTACAGTTCTTGTCAAAAGATATTTTTTGTTGTTGAAATGTACGAGTTTAAAAACGAGTATATATACAGTACGAGTACGAATATATATATATA